GCTCCCCTCAGCAGTGGATTTCAGTCGATCTGCCTGTTCTGTTCCCCACTCTGTCTCTCGTGAATCCTCTTACTCCCTGCATCTCTGCTTTGCACCCCAGTTCTTGTATGCATGAATTAATAAATATTAAAAAAAAAAGAAAGACAAGTCTGGTGATGTGTAGTCAAGACTGAATCGATATCGACTCAATGGAGCACTCACATGCTTGTGACACAAGGAGAAGTCACAAGGACATTTCTGGCAGCAAGTCTATGTACCACATAAAAATAAAAAAGTCCTGAAGGTCCATCAACAGGACATGATGTGTGCTCACAGTGAGAAGGCTCTGCTCCACAGAGTGAATGTGGATGGGCTAGAGACGTGTGTGTCATGGTTCAAGTTCAAAAACATTAAGTCATGGAAAACCAGAAAGTTGCAGAATGTAGGTACAGTGTACTAAACCAGTTTTGGTCAGGATTAAAAACAAGCAAAACAATCTGCTATTTGTGAATGTGTCCGGTAAAATGGAAAAGCCTGGGCAGGAAGGAGCACACAAGTTAGGATGGTGGCTGCTGCGGGAGGGAGAGATGAGAGCGGGATCTTGGAGAAGCACAAAGGGGCCTTTTATTCTATGTGTGAAGTCTTAGTTTTTAACAAGATGGAGCAAGTAAGGCAAAATAGTAGTGCTCATTAAATGTGGGTGTTGGTTATATTACACGCTTCATTTCCAGTCTTTTGAACTATTTCACAATGAAACAGTCCATGCCATGGTAGGATGACAGTGCTTGCAGAGATCAGATGGGGACACATTAAAGCTCACATAATCCCACTGTTCAGTGTCAATCTGTTGACCTGCAAGCAGGTCTGAAAAACCTGAAAATTGGGTAACAGTGATCTCAGTGTAAGGACATCTCGGAGAATGAGCAGAATTTCCAAATAGCTGTTATAAATATGAACATATGTTTTAAACAACTATCAAGAGGAGCCAGACATGCCCTGCATGTGTCTTTTGTCAGTGACAAGAAATTGGTAGTAAATATGGATCTGACTCAACTCAGTTTCCATTGTTTGTTGATATTTACTTAGGTTGCTTCTGTCTTTTACTGGGAGAACATCCACATCACCATCATTGAGTAAAAGTACAGTCAAATGTATATTCAAGTTGAGTCCTATGAAAGTTCTGCAACAAGTAAGATATTCCACTTGTTTTTTGTCATTTGTGCTCAGTGGAAGATAATGTGGACAAATGCTAAGTCATGGAGGAGGGACAACGAGAGCAAATGAAATCTAGTGATTCTAACTTTCAGATCCAAGAACAGCACTTCTATAATAAATATTTCTTTTAAAAAAAAAGATTGATTCATTTATGCATACAAGAGCTGGGGTACAGGCCAGAGATGTAGGGGGTGAGAGGATTCACCAGAGACAGAGTGGGGAACAGAGCAGGCAGACTGATGGAAATACACTGCTGAGGGGAGCAGTGGGCAAGCCAGGAGAGGTCTGCTGTGCCATGTGGATTGCTCCCTGGCCGGCCAGGGCTGGGGATTGAACTCATGTTGCAGTGGCTGCAGACAGCTTCATAGGTTGCTTTTTAACCCCTTGCACCACCAGGGAGGCCCCTATAGCAAATATTTCATAGCATTCCTGTATACCCTAAAATAAAAATTCATAAACCTGTATACACACATAACTGAAAAATATCCTAACTACACTATAAATAGAAATAAGATGAAGGTAATATATTTATTATATTATATTATATTATATTATATATTTTAATACATAATAAATTCGCAGGATTCAAATGATACTCCAGTCTAGAGGACATACTGAGGTAACCAGGTGTTTGTATGACTTATAAGGAGTAAGTTCAGATTTAAAAGATGATCAGGAGTCAAAAAAAAAATAGCGGGGGGGGGGTGTCAAAGATGGTACTGGCAGGCTTGGTCCAGAATGGGCTGAATTTCACAAAAACCTGCTGAAATATTTCCCTATGGCTATAGTCCTGCAGTACTTCAACCAGTGCCTCTGCTTTTCACAAGCTCCCACAAAGGGGCATTTGGAGACATGCCTGTCCCTTTTCTGTGTGCTGTATAAATATTTCTTTAACAAATAGATACTGATGACCTTTTAAGTGTTAGACAATGCATACACACGCTCACACACACACACACACACAGAGTCATGTTCAGACACATTTCCATGTTACCTAAAAGCTCACATGCTCACACAATGCATACATCCCTGAGGGGATACGGGATATTATAGGTGACTCCCAGGATGTCTCATTTTGCTTAGACATTTTTATGATGCAACAATGGGGTTAAGAGTGAAATGGGCAAGGAATAGGGTAAGCCCAAGGGGAGTGTCCCAAAAGACAAAATGGAATGGATGAAACTCTTATATAGCAGAAGACTTAGGGCACTCAGCAGCATTCCTTGACTGTGGGGTGCCTCGCTTCTGTTCTAGAATCAGCATCAAACACCTGAGTCCCTTGGTGGCAGGTAGGTGCATCTATTTCCTCCTGGGGACAGGACTGCAGAGACTGGAGAGGTCGTGATACTGAATACCTGCCTCAGTTTCCCTCAGCCAATAAAAGGAAACAGTTTGAGGAAAAGAAAAGTGGTTTAATTTGTCGACAAATGAGGAGGGCAGCAGACTTGTGTGTGAAAGACCACCATCCTGTTCTTTGGCAGAGTGCAGGGGTATTTATACAAAGAAAAAAAGGGGGGAGATGGGCAAGGGTCTGCAAAGGGGAGGGGTCAGCACGGAGATGGGTGGGCACCAGCTTGCTTTTTTAACAACTGCTTTTTAACTCCCTTTTTTTTTTTTTTTAAAGATGCATTTATTTAAATACAAGCACTGGGTACAGTCAGAAGCGCGGGAGGGCGAGAGAATTCACCAGAGCCAGAGCAGGGAGCAGAGCAGGCAGAAAGACCGAAGTACACTGCTGAGGGGAGCAGCGGGCGGCAGGAGAGGTCTGCGTGCCATGTGGGACCCTCACCTGGTGGCTGGGGATCGAACCGGCGCTGCAGAGGTTGTGGGCAACTTTGCAACCCAGCTTTCAACCGCTGCACCACCGGAGAGGCCCTGTTTAACTCCTTTTAAGAAGACAAACCTGTCAAACAAGGGGATAATTGCAAGAAATAGAGTAAAGACAAACTTGTTAATGCTTATCTGAGAGACTGGTCATAAAGAAGACAAACTTGTCAAATAAAGGGGAATTGCAATAGATGGAGGAAGACAAACTCTTTAATTCTTTTTTTTTTAAAGATTTATTTATTGATGCATATAAGAGCTGGAGTAGAGGCCAGAGGTGTGGGGGGTGAGAAGACTCACCAGAGACAGAGTAGGGAGAAGAATAGGTGGATCAACTGAAATACACTGCTAAGGGGAGCAGCGGGCAAGACAGGAGAGGTCTGCTGCACCATGTGGGTTGCTCCCTAGCCAGCCGGGGATCGAACTCATACTGCAATGGCTGTGGAAAGCTTCATAGGCTGTGTCTTAACCCCCTGCGCCACCAGGAAGGCCCACAAACTTTTTAATTCTTATCTGAGGGACCAGTCATTTGTAATTGCATCAGTGAGAATCCACTAGGAGACACATACCTCTTTTCAGCACAACCCTGCATAACCCTTCAGGTTGATTCTCTTTTTTTTAAAGAGGCATGTATTTTTATTTATTTATTTATTTGTTTGATTTTTGTTTATTTGTTTGTTTATACAAGCACTGGGTACAGTCAGAAGCGCGGGAGGGTGAGAGAATTCACCAGAGCCAGAGCAGGGAGCAGAACAGGCAGACTGACGAAATAAAGTGCTGAGGGGAACAGCGGGCGGCAGGAGAGGTCTGCGCGCCATGTGGGACCCTCCTCCGGTGGCCGGGGAGCAGCCGGGATGGAACCAGCGCTGCAAAGGCTGCGGGCACCTTCACAACCCAGCGCTCAACCGCTGCGCCACCGGGGAGGCCCCAGGTTGATTCTTGAGGGCCCCAGGGTTAGCGACTTGCCCTTGTCACCAACAAGAAGGCCAGAATGTGGACAGGAATAGTCTTGAGGCTGGGGCTCCATCCTTATCAAAGGGGTTGATTTTGAGCCCATTCCCTGCTGTGGCAGCAAGAACCAGCCACTGCCAGACACACCACTCAGCCATGTCCCCACCCTGGGAGACTCAGGCCAGGGTGGGCCCTGCATGGCTAGACACCAGAGGAAGGAGGTCTCCACCTAAGCCCTGGTACGAATCCTGCTGTCCCAGAAATGTGTCTAGAGGGATCCATGATGAAATCAGAATGCTGTTTTTGGATATCTAAGAACAATTTTCATGTTACCTAAAATCTCTAAATGTGCAATTAAAGTCATAGAATGTTGGTAACAGAAATGCTGACAAGCTTAGTATCTCTGATGAGGGGGCAAATGCTGTTGCTTTAGGTGGGGTGCTGAAGGAAAAGGAGGTAGCAGTAGGTTGAGGGGAGATGGGCTTGGATGGGGTGGTTGCAGCAGCAGGCAGGAGTAAGTTGAAAAGCAAGTTCAATGTTTTGTTGTGGAAGAATAGACATGTGGAGGGAAGAACAAAGGCAGCTATTTAAGAAGAATATTGGGCCTCCCTGGTGGCACAAGAGGTTAAGCACAGCACAGTGAAGCATCCGCAGCCTCGGTAAGCTCGTGTTTGTCCCCCGCCGGCCAGGGAGCTACCCACATGGCGCAACAGACCTCTCCTGTCTTGCCCGCTGTTCCCCTCAGCAGTGCATTTCAGTCAGTCTCCTGTTATGCTCCCCACTCTGTCTCTGGTGAATCCTCTCACTCCCCCACACCTCTGGTCTCTACTCCAGTTCTTGGATGCTTAAATAAATACATCTTTTTTAAAAAAAAGAATATTCCTTGTTTGGGGATGGAGTTGAGGCAGGAAGATTCATTCATTCACAAGCACCTCCCAGGGGCCCAGCCCCAAGTAGGGGTCACGATCAGTAGTGATGGTAGGGGTCACGATCTCCGGGCAGCCTGGCTGGCCCTCGGTCACAGGAAAGGTATGGCCTACTCTCCTGGAGATCTTGAAGTGAAGCAGAACCTCTTATCAGAGACTTTAGTGGAGCTCTCAGGTGCACGGAGACACAGATCTTAATGACTTTCTGGTTGTGATTACCTTCCCAGGTTCTCTGGTCCAGGAGGTAGAAGACCAGAGAGTGTTGGCCATGCTCAGGGCAGCACAATGGGCCTTTTTCAGGGGTCATCGCTGCTCCTCCATCCCAGCAAGAATGCATAGCAAAGAGGCTAATAGGATCCCTGCCGTGGCCAAGAAAGTGGCAGTGATCACTGGGTCTACAAAAGGGTGAGCAGATGGGATTCCTGGCTGGCACTAGGCCAAGTGTTAGAGTCTCTGTTTCTGAGTAGTCTCTGCAGTCCACGCCCTTCTCACACATCCCTCCTGACACCCCCACCTTGTCACACAGCTCCAAGTCAACTCCAAACCTCAGCGTCTCTCCATAAAATACCTGGTTTCTGATTCCGAAGGAGGATGCAGTTGGAAAGCCAGCTGCTTCTGGGTGGATCAGAGCATTTCTAAATCTAGCCTCTGCCACTTACTGGCTGGATGATCCTGTAATATTTAGAGACATCGGGAAGGCCCTCTATTCCCAGGCACATAGTCAGCATCTTTTAGGGCCTAATAGGGACAAGTGTGAAGCCTATTTGTGTCTCATACATGGGAACTTTGTTGACTGCAGAAGGCCCACCACTAAGGCACTTGGGCAAAGGGCAGGGCCACATCCACATCTCAACACCAGCTTGGGGAGTTTTTATACAAGAACTTCTATTCATTATTACATTTCTTCTTATGTACCCCCTCCCTTCCCTCTCTGTCATATTGAGCCACAGTCTGTAAGGCATTATAATCACCAGCAGGAGGTGTTGTGGGGAGAAGATCAGGGTGAGGCCAGACGCATGGGGGTGAAAGAATTCACCAGAGACAGAGGGGAGAAAAGAACAGATTTATTGAAATACACTGCTAAGAGGCACAGCGGGGAGACAGGAGGAGTCTGAGCACAAAGGAGTTGAAGCTCTCTCTCTCTTTTTTTTTTAAAAAAGATTTATTTATTTATGCACATAAGAGCTGGAGTACAGGCCAGAGATGGGGGCGGGGGTGGTGTTGAGAGGATTCACCAGAGACAGAGTGGGGAACAGAACAAGCAGATCTACTTAAATACACTGCTGAGGGGAGCAACAAGCGAGACAGGAGAGGTCTGCTGCACCTTGTGGGTTTCTCCCTGTCCGGCCGGGGATCCAGGATCATGCTGCAGAGGCTGAGGATTCCTTCATAGTGTGGTACTTAACCCCTTGCACCACCAGGGAGGCCCCCTCAGGATATTTTAAATCCTCCTGAGTGCTCACAATGCCCAGTCTGCATAACAAATGAATACCATCAACACAGCAGGCTACGCTGATAGTTTACAGAAGATGGGGGAACCTGCCTCTTTCCTTCCCCCAACAAGGGGCCCAGCCAGCACCCAGCCAGGGTGCTCCAGACTTCCTTTAAGAAAGCACATGCAGCAAAAAATTTTAAAAACTGCACAGCTCGTCAGCAAAAAATTTTAAAAACTGCACAGCTGAGGAGAGCTGTTAGGTTCAGAGGCGGTGTGATTTATCCCAGAGGCCTCTGACTAAAACAGAGAAAGAAAAGGCAGTCTAAGAGTCCCTGCAATTTAGGCTGGTACCCGGCAAGCCTACCGCTGTACTGATGGAACACTATTTTTAAAAAACTCCTCCTTTTAACGTTGATATGAAAATTTTCTCATTTATAAAATATGATTAAGTGAGGCTTCTGAAGTTAAAAGGGAGAGTGGAGGGTGAGAGGGACACAAGGGGTGGGCGGCAGGGGATAATGCCCACTGAACATGGCAGCTAGGACACCTAAAAAAAAAAAAAAGAAAAAGAAAACCAAGAAGAAAATATTGCCATTGCACATACAGTTTAAGAATTAAATGGGGTGGCCCTGGTGAAGGCTTTATACATACTTTGCATTCAACAGTTGCTCTTGCCTGCTCAGAAGGACTGAGAGGCCCTTTGGCTCACAGAGGCAATTTATTTAGTATCCTGTGGTCAGCTCTCAGGAGGAGAGGTGGAGAGCTGAAAACATCCCGGCCATCTCTGCCCACAGGATCGGCTTTGCCATCGCCCGGCGTCTGGCCCAGGACGGGGCCCACGTTGTGATCAGCAGCCGGAAGCAGCAGAACGTGGACCAGGCAGTGGAGACCCTGCAGGGGGAGGGCCTGAGCGTGTCCGGCACCGTGTGCCATGTGGGAAAGGCTGAGGACCGGGAGCGGCTGGTGGCCACGGTGAGGCTGGGTGGAAGGAGGTACAGATGGCACCATGCAGATCAGCCCTAGCAGAGGGAGTTGGGTCTCTGGCGTTGGTGTTTGGGACAACACTTGTAGCCTGGGATAGGGTGCGGGTCTGAGGATGAAACAGACAACCAGATGTGACTGAGAAGTTCTGGGAACTCACCCGGCCTGCACTAGAGTCTTGCTAACCAAAGGGTGGTCTAATGACCAGCAGTCTGGCCTTGACCCGGGAACCATGGAGATCTTCCCTCAGCCCTCACCAGCAATGCTGAATGGGATCTGCATTTTAAAGAGCTCTGGGGTGATTTGCATGGAGGTTAAAGTTTGAACAGCCTAACTCCTGGGCTCTCCAGCTGTTGGGCTGGGGAACCCCCTGGGGTTGGAGACTGGATGAAGACCTGTTCCTGTGTAACAATCTAGGAAGAGGTGAGTTGTGTGGTGAAACTGAAGGAACACAAAATGGGCAGACACATGTTGTGGAGAAGGGTTTCTTGCGAGGCTGAAGGATTTCCAGAGTGGGGAGAGAAATGAGAAGGAATTGTTTAAAAATGGAAAGGGTAGGGCCTCCCCGGTGGCGCAGCCGTTGAGCGCTGGGTTGCGAAGCTGCCCGCGGCCTCAGGGGCGCCGGTTCCATCCCTGGCTGCTCCCCGGCCACCGGAGGAGGGTCCCACATGGCGCGCAGACCTCTCCTGCCGCCCGCTGCTCCCCTCAGCAGTGTACTTCGGTCCTTCTGCCTGCTCTGCTCCCCGCTCTGGCTCTGGTGAATTCTCTCACCCTCCTGCATGTATAAACAAAACAAATGAATAAATAAATAAAAACACATGCCTCTATAAAAAATAAATAAATAAATAAATAAAAATGGAAAGGGTAAAAGAGGGTCAGCAGTGACACCTGGTAAGTAAAGATCTGGACTGGGGGATGGCGGGGCCGCAGCTACCAACAAGGCATCTTGTAGGAGCAGAAACCAGATGATTCCAAGGAGGTGAGAAACAAATATTTCACTCAACCTCTGAAGACCAAGGCCTGACTCTGGTCCAGATATAGCTGCGGGATGGTCTGCAGTGCAGAGGGGGTAGTCACTTTGCGCCCTGTGTTCCCAGCCTGACTGGAGAGGGAGAGAGGTTTTTTCTCCATTCCTTCACCCCACGCCTCTGTCATTTTCTCCACAGGCCCTGGAACCCTTTGGGTATGTTGACTTCCTGGTGTGTGTGGCAGGGGTCAACCCTTTTGTGGGGAGCACCCTGGGAGCCAGTGAGCAGGTGTGGGACAAGGTGAGACCTGGGATTGGGTTTTATACACCCTGCACAACTCTCTGTCCACCATTTTTCCACACACAGGTGTACGTGTGTGTGCATGCACACATACACACCCACACATAGAACATAAACTCCCACATGCCCTTGTCAGTACTGACTCTGGTGGGTGGGGGATGAAGCTGACCTTGTTCGAACTGCCCTTCAGCAAACTCAACAGGCATCGAGCATGCCCAGCCTGCACCAGGCCCCCCTAGCCTCCTCTGTGTTACCCCCTCTCCCCTGTCTTCGTGTTCACTCTGATTTCAGATCCTGGAAGTGAATGTGAAGGCCCCGGCCCTGTTGCTAAGCCAGCTGCTGCCCCACATGGAGAACAGGAAGTAAGGGCATGAGAGGGGCCCGTGGACATTGGGGCCTCTGGGCACTGGTCTTTTCTACCCCATAGGAAACACTTGGGGAGGGGTCCAGGAAGTGGAGGATGGCAGGAGAGATGGGAGGTGTGTCCTTGATAAGTGCCAGACCTACCCTCACCCCCTCAGGCTGTGGATGTGACACTGTGATGAAGAGAAAGTTTTGTTGGAGGTACATGGGGTGAAGGTCAGGGAAGAACCTGACTTCTGGGACCTCAGAAGGCTCTGTGTGAGTTTTTTTATTTTAAAGAATTTATTTATGCATACAAGAACTGGGGACCAGAGGTGCAGGGGATGGGTGGATGAGAGGACTCACCAGAGAGAGGGTGGGGAGCAGAACAGGCAGATCTACTGAGATACACTGCTGAGGGAAGCAAGTGGTGAGGATGGGAGAGGTCTGCTGCACCATGTGGGTCACCTCCCTGGCCAGGGATCAAATTCATGCCACAGTGGCTGTGGATAGCTTTGTAGTCTGAGACTTATCCCCTTGTGCCAACAGAAAGACCCTGTTTGAGATCTTTGATCTCCAAGAACACAGGGACTATCCCCCTTTAATGACAGCTGCAGGGAAATAGAATGTAGTAACCTGGCTTCCCAGTTCTTGCTCCTTAGCTCTTGCCCTTCTCTATGGTGATCTCTCCCACTCCTTTTTGGACAGATACTTGGTGACATTTGCTCCTCCTCACCTCCCCAGCTTCCCCTTGGCTTTCCTGGGTCTGGGGCCACCCGGGACGGGCCATTCTGGGCCTGGTGGTGGTACGCTGACCTCATGGGCCTGATGATACATGAGCAATTCTTGAGCTCTGCTCTCCTCAAGTGCTGCCTCTCAGTCTTGGGTCCCTGACCAAGGAATACCCCCTGACTATGGTGTCACTGACTCCATCAGAGATCTTGGTGTCTGTTAATTTACAGATAGTCCCACCTTTCTCACCATGAATCTTGAGCTGGGTTCCCTTGAGCCAGACAGTTTGCTGGCTCATGGTTGAACTTGCCTTCCATCTTGCCCCATCTGCCTTTCTTCTTACAGGGGAAGCTCTGTCGTTCTGGTCTCATCTGTGGTGGGATATTTGCCAGTACCAGTGAGTATAAAACCTCTGGACAGCAGGGTGAGGGACAGCTGACTGGTTTCTTGTGAGGCCCTTAGCGCTGTGCAGGAGACCTGCAGTTGATTCCAGATAGGGAATTAGGAAGCATGATGCCTGCAAAACACCCTGATGGCTACAGAGTTGGTATTATAATCTCCCTGTGCCATAGCATCTCTGAAACCCAAGGATGTTCAGCCTTTCACCTTAGGTAAGCACAGTCACTTCATGGTAAACTAACGGCTAGGATCTGGGTTTTCCCACTTTCAGTTTCCTGAGTGTTTAAAAGCACAGTGCCACTTGCTCTTTGTCAAGCTTGGGCATACATGACAGTGACTTCCTCTAAGGCTAATGATGCCCCTGCACCTTGCACAGTTTGACTCCTTGAACGCTGTGGTGGGATGGTGAGGCTCAGGAGAAAGAATTTTAGTTTGGGCCTAGAGTTCAGTGTATCTTCTAAATCTGAGATCCAGCGTCCCCATGCAGGTTGTTCGGGACCTACTCCCTCCTCCCGCTGCCAATCCACTTCACCCCTTTCCTTTTGCTTTGCAGGAGCTGGGAGTCTACAACACCAGCAAAACAGCACTGCTGGGCCTCTGCAAATCTCTGGCTATGGAGCTGTCCCCTAAAGGCATCCGAGTGAACTGCCTGGTGCCAGGGTTAATCAATACTGACTTTATCCATCTGGTGAGACTCATAAGTAGCTCCTGCTCCCCTACTCCTACACTTGTCTCTCACTAGTCCCTTTGTGGCCAAGCTCCTGCAGGGCCAAGGCCCATAAAGACCTGCCCAGGTCAGAGGCCCAGCCCAGGCTCATCATTCATAGGTTCTGCCCTGCAGCCTTTGGGACAGCAACCTTATCCTTTCCTGCAGTGAATAGATCTTTGTCTTCTGAGGGGAGCGGCCCAAGTATGTATCCTCTGTCCTGAGCAGTATCATCCTCCCACGAAGACATCAGTCTGCCACGATGCTTTGATGCTTTTCCCACCCACACTGCCCCCAGCCCTGCCAGTGGTCCTTCTGCCCGAAGTTGATTTTTAAATCTTTCCTTAGGAGAACATTAAGCGACCAGTGAAAGATATCTTTAAGGGAGCCTTCGGATTGCAGCGGTAGGTGGAGTTTGGGGTTTCGATAGCCCTTGTTTACTTTAAAGGGAAGTTTAACCTTTTTTTTCTTTAAATGAACATAAGAAATTGAAGCTTTTTTAAAAAATTTTTTTTACATTGTTTTTTATTTTTGTAAGATAGTTGATTTCTCTGCTCATGTGTAGTCCCCACATCTGCCTTGAATGGTCACCATAGTCCCTTGTGCTCCTCCCTCCTCTCCTCTCATGTGACTCCCCTCCCACCCTCTCCCCAGCTGGATGCCTAAGATCGCTAGTTTACCTGTAAGTTTTCTTTCTCTCTTTTTTTGACCCTTTGCTTGGATTCCCTATATTCCTTCTATAAGTGAAACCATCCGATATTTTTCTTTTTTAAAGGAAAGTTCAATTTCAAGAAGAGAGATAGCACCCAGATTTTCTCCCAGTTTTCTGACGGGGCCCCTTGCTGAAGTGTGGAGACAGCACAGTCCTGGGGCTGGGGGCTGGAGTGGGAAGCCATCCTGCCAAGCCCACCATGATCTTCCTCGGGTCTGTTTCCCTAGAATTAGTATATAGGGGCTGCTGCTGGGCTCTGCTCTGGGCCAGCTGAGCCAGCACTGCGTGGGTGGGCCTCAGCTCTGTTCTCTTCCCTTCAGGCTTGGGGAGCCCGAAGAATGTGCGGGGATCGTGTCCTTCCTGTGCTCTTCAGAGGCCAGCTACATCACCGGGGAGAATATTGTGGTGGCTGGCTACTCTCCTAAACTGTGAAGAGAGGGGGCCATGGTTCTTGGGGGAAAACTACGAAGTTGGTGATGGGGAGCGTCAGGGCCTTTAGCATCCGGGGTCACTTAGGTAAACTTACTCAGAAAATGAAAAGGAAGGTGAGATATTTGAAAATGTTTACTTGGAAATAAACGTGTGTGGGCACATCTGTTTGACTGTGATATATGAGCCGTTGACCTTGGCCTGAAAGCCTCACTTGTGGACTAGTTCCTTCCTTTATCATTGTCCCTCATTCTTAAGACTTTTACCTCTTCCTCCCTCTCTTCTCTCCTTTCCCATGAAATTGGAAACTGGACTGACTACTTCCTTTCTGCCCATCCAAATCCACCCCCCACGCTTCTCTGTTCTGCTCTGTATTCCAAGATGCTGAGCTGTAGGGAGTGCTTCAATAGACCTCTGTAACCTTTGGTCTTCCAGTTGGGTTTGGTCAAAGGGAGACACTTGGCAGGGATGACAGTGAGGTCAGGGATGTCTCAGGATCTTTCCTTCTTGGTTGACACATTGGGCTGTTTGTTCCGCCAGAGGTTACAGCTCTTGTCAGGCAACACCTTCCACACAGCTAGATTTCCACAGCCGGCCCCATGGCTCTCAAAGCCATAATCGGCCTACAATGGCTCTGCGTGCAGCCATTGTGGGTCCTGTTCAGGCTACTTTGTGTTAGGACTCTGCTGTTGACTGTGGCACCTTGCCTGGAGTGGGTGTCCTATGCAATTATTTCTCTCCCACTGTCGACACAAGGGAGGAAGCTCAGCTGATGGCTTTTCCCTCTCAGTGCCTATATTCCTTAAGACCCACTGGGGCTAGGGCAGCTAGGGAAGCCAACTAGGGCACTACTAGCTGACTCTTCGTTTGGGAGGCTGTGGGCAGTCATCCCTCTTCCTCAGTGAGGAGGAAAAGTTTATGGGCTCCTGGGATCCTTTTCTAATTTCTTGGCTCCCTTGCTTCCAGAGCCACCTGTCTCTTCTGTTCCCTTGCTGTGTCAGCAAAATCATTTGAAACTGGGAAATAGGCTGAAGATATGGAAGAATATTTTTTAGGTTAGTATTAGGCTTGTCTTTCTAGCTCCTATAGTTCAGGTGTAGATTTTTGTCTGTTAGAGAAGCAAATAATTTCTATTAGAATAGACGGTCTCAACAACTATGGTTTATTATCTTACTAGACATCAACTAGGCTTTTTTAAAAAAGATTTATTTATTTATGCATACAAGAGCTAGGGTACAGGCCAGAGGTGAGGGGGTGAGAGGATTCAGCAGAGACAGAGTGGGGAGCAGAACAGGTGGATTTTCCCTCATCCACTGTCCTTCATACACTGCAGAGGGGAGCAGTAGGAGAGACGGGAGAGGTCTGCTGTGCCATGTGGGTCACCTCCTTGGCCAGGGATAGCTGCAGTGGCTGTAATAGCTTCAGAGGCTGAGATTTAATCCATTGAGCCACCAGGGAGACCCCAAGGCATCAATTAGTTTTGTCTTAGCTTCTCAAATGTTATTTGAGTCAGTCATAATATCTTATTGGTTCTCTTGTTTATTAATGAACTGAATACGATTTTGATGCATGTTTAGTTTATATTTGTTATTTATACTTGAAAGTCATGATACTATTTTTTTTTTAAATTTTACTTTAACATTGATTTACTGTGTGTGTGGGTGAACAAAAAGGAGAGGCTGTTAGACTTTAGAGTAGAACCATTTTTATTAATTATGTTACTGAATTTCTACCTTTCTATTATTTGTTTGCGTTTCACATGAAACAAAAAAAAAGACGTTTAAATTCTTTCTCATTTATAAAGAGAAAACTCTCCAGTAATCCTTTATCATCCCGTAGCTCCCATACAATAATATCTTTATCCTTGACAAAGTGGTTTTTAAAACCACTTGTCTTGTCTAAAAAATTGTCTTAGGCTAGATGTCTAGGGCAACACATGAAAAATATAATTAAATATGAAAAGTTAATGTTAGATGAGTGTAAAAGGTTTCAAGCCTCTGCGAGGTGATTACAATGATAAGAAGGAAGTTTTCTGTGTTTTCCTACTTTGCTGCACAGTTTTGACCTCTGCAGGTACTTTCAGATCTCCTCTGATCTCCTCTGACCCTTTGCCTTACTCAGCTTTCACTAGCTCTCAAGGTAAGTAAAAGCGTCTAGTCACAATGCATCTCCACAGACTTTCTCTCATATCAGCATAGAAACAGGACCCTCAGTGTGAAAAAAAAGTCACATAATAAGGAAAACTGCTGTAAAATATGGATTAATGAGTTGAACAGCAAACAGAGTGGAAGGTGTAGTGACAGCAAGGGCAGCTGGGGGAAGGCAAGGGGTTGTTGCTGGCCTCAGAAGGGAGAGAAGGAATAGAATCTAATTCTTGTCCTGGGAGTCTGAGTTCCCACATCCCACGGGGTCTGGTTGGAGGCTCCTGTTACAGGGTAGGGAGAGGGGCGCCCCAGACCTGGCAAACCTGCCTGCTCTAAATAGATTCTGCCATCCGCCTCATCAACAAAAACATATAAGACTTTAATGGGAAGGAACTTTAATACAATTAGGAAACAATACAGGAAAGGCAAAGAATCTAGTTTCTAAATCAAACACCCAAAGCTACCCGTCTCCTCGTGGGTAAAATTTCACCCAAATGGGATTGACCCAGAGCAAGGCCCAAAGCCTGCCACAAGTCTAAAGCATCTTCCAGTGGGGACCCACAGAAAAGGGTCAGAAACCACCAGACAAGTCTGGAGGGAAAAGAACAAAATCAAAATCAAGACAAAAAGCGCCATTGTCACCTCCCCACAAGTCTCACCCACATCTGTGTCACCCAGTCCACGACCGAAAGGCAAGAGCAGTTTCTTCACGTGTCTCTCGGCTCCATGTGCCTCCTCCAGGTCTTCTGGCTCTGCATCCTGCTTCCTTCCTTCCTCAGTCTCCTCTGCAGCCTCTTCTCTCCCTGTTCAGCTCCACCCTCCTTTTTGGGTGGGGCAGGGAACCTGGAACCTCTCCCTTTCCTGGGGACCACCCTGTTACACTCCCACCGTGGTTGTGGAGCAGTAGTAACAAGCTGAGTTGCTTCTGCATATTATTTTGGGAGATGCCATGAAAATGACACAGGAGACTTAACAAGTCCACCAAAGTCACATGTTGAAATGGAATACCAATGTGATGGCATTTGGAGGTGGGCCTTTGGGAGGTAATTAGATCATGAAGTAGTGCCCCCATAATGGGATTAGCAGCCTTATAAGAAGAGGCCAGAAAGCTGGCTTGCTCTTCCTATCCTATGCGGGTAAAAAGAGAAGTCAGCAGTCTGCTATCTAGAAGAGGATCTCACCAGAACCTGACCACATTGGCACCCTCATCTCAATCTCCAGAAATGTTATTTATAAGCCAGCCTGACTGTGATGTAGCTTGAGCTAAGACAATAAGTTTAACAAAGAGACTATGCAAATTGATAAGAAAAATGCTAATACTTACATAGATAAATGGGCAAAATTTATGAAAAACAGTGCATATCCAGCAACTTAATAATCAAGATACTATAAATAATAATAAAATAAAAATGCAGTAATAAAATAACGTTAAAATAATAAGTAAAACAAATAAAAATAACAATACTTTACGATTTTTTTGTCCATCAAGTTGACAAAGATTTTAAATGGACAATACCTAATGGTGTTGAGGGATGAGTATGTTTATACATTTTTGGTAACAGTGGAAACTCCTCCACCAGCTTTTCAGGAAATCTATTTGGCGTTGTGAATCAAGAACTTCATTTAATCCAGAGGCTTTACCTATAGAAATCTATACAAAAGAAATAATTCATGAAATGTCAAGTACAGAATTATTTATAAAATCAAAATATTGGAAATAGACTGGATGTCCCCAGGTCAGGACACTGTTAAGTAATCTGCCTATCCTGCCCATTTGCCCTTGCTCATGTGGCATCCCGAGAGAGCTTGGTGCTCTCTGTTGCTCGAGAGCGAGCCGGGCCTGCTCTAGCACCAGTCCTGCTCTTCTCTCTCCTTGGAACACTCTGCCCACAGCTATCTGCAGTGTTTCAACCTTACCTCATCCAGGTCTTTATTCAAATGTCTTCATATGATACCCTTTATTCATGGCGCCCTCTCCCATACCCCCTTTGTGGCTTCATTTTTCCTCCCATCCCTTATCATCATCTAACATTCCATATAGGACCTCGATTACAATTCATCTACAAAGTTCATCATTGTCTGGTAGCCTTGAAAAGGGTTTTAAAATTTAAAGCCCAATTAAATTCTACATTTCATTGCACTGCAAGTTATTGCATGTTTCTAAAAATAAGACAGAAAGAAGGACCTTTGAGTCGAATCAAGATTTAAAAGGGTAGAGTCTCCAAAATGTGAAACTGGCTGATGGGGAGGCCTCTTTCCTTGATAGGCCTCTTTCCTACCTGCCCAACCCTTCCTTGGAGTACCTTGACTGTCTCAGGCCAAATGTCTGTTGAAGCTGGAACTTTAGGAAACATGGTTGAAAAATACCAGAATGTTAGAAAATATTGGCTGTTTCTTGTGGCCTTTAGGAAAGCCTGACCCAAAAAGATACGAGCTTAGATCTGAACCAACCTGGCAGGAGGGGGACAACACACAGCTTTGTTAGGAGATCCCTTGGCCACTGGAGTGTGCTAAGGCTCAGTTAACCATGCTTTTTACAGAATTACAAAAGTTGGAATTTCTGCCCCATTCTAAAATTAGCTTTAAAAATTAGATAGGGAGGTAAAATTGAGCTGTGAGGCCAAAGAAATGGAGGAGGCCAGATTCCCTGGGCCCTTCCCACTTCCTTGAATGGTCTGAGGTAGCCCTTCAGGGTCTGCCAATGGGCTGCAGCCTGGTCCCAGGTGTAGGTTATTCCATTGTTTCACAAAGCCAAGAGAGAAACAATTGTATATAGGCCTGGGGCTAAGAGCAAAATCCCAAGGCTTATAGCTAAGAGAACAGCCAGGGTAGTATACAGACCTGTGACCAGAAGGTTCTTTCATCCCTTTTAGAGTTTTGGAGGAGTTGATTACCAATGAA